AAGTTGATGTATTTCCTCAGCGGCCAGCACGGATCAGCTCCAGGCATGACGAAGTAGATATCGTCCTCTTTTGGAAGGTCAAACAAAGTAGTTTCGCTTTCACAACGAAACACATAGCGTCTTCACGACATGGCGGCGGCAACAATACTACAGCGTGAATAAAAGTTATGCCTTCTTTCTTTGTGTGAACATTTGGGCGGTGTTATGCAAATCTTCCCACATAGTGACCTAGATATGTGGGGCGTGTTAGAACGAGCCGTTTTAGGTAGGCGTGGTTGACTCTTAACTTTTATAAAGAATATCTCTTTGGATTTGAGACTTTAGTTTTTGCAACTTTACAGATCTTCTTTATGCACCAAGAGCTTGTAACACTTCAAAGAGAAAGGAAAAATTGAAATCGCATCATATGACCCCTTTAAAAAATACTTACACATGGCTCAATTTCTCAAAACTCTACACACAAAATCACAAAACACACACACAACATGCAAAACATCACACATATCTTGCAAAATCAAACACTTCATTCAGAACTATTTTAACTCTTCTAAAAATTTTATTTTTGCATAGTACCTGTACACACAAACATAAAATAATTAGCCACATACAAGCCAAACTACACACCGATGTGAAAAATGTAAAACACTACTCTCATGTGTCTTTTGCTTGTTCAGAGTGCAGTGGAGTGCACAGGAGTTTGTCAAAGCACTCGCACATACATGCATATGCACATAAACACTGTATACAGTATGTATGTACAACTGATGTATTTTACACAGTTATACAACTGAACTGAATCAATATTGACCCGACCTGAGCTGTATAATGACACTATTGACTTGCTAGAGCTACTTTACAGCAGAATTTGAATTTGATACTATTATGAAGCTGCTGTGAAACAATCTATATTGTATATATTGCTTTAAAAATGAAGTTGACTTTATGACTTGGCTTGTTTATATATCCAGTGTATATAGATGTATGTGTGTGTGTATGTGTATACATATGTATATATATGTACTGTACACACAAACACACACAGTATATAATCATATATACATATACATATACCATATATACAATGTAAACAGAAATGTAAGGGGGTAAAAATAATTTATTTCTTAAAACACTGAGTTTTGATTTCTAAGTGAACAAATAATGTACAAGTGTTTCCACACATGATCACTGGGTGTAGGTTATCTGTAAATGAGTGTGGCATTTAAATGGCAGTGTTTCCCAAATTAAAAAAAGAGCTGTTAGTTTTGAATGATGTGTGTAATTTTGCAAAAAGTTTTTTACAATAGCAAACTGAGTTTAAAGCACGAACTGTGATTGTAGTTTTGCAGACCTGGTCTAAAGATTAGGTATATGAGTGAATGGTTTCACTGAGTGTG